TAACTTATTAATACCTGCTTTTATCAAATTTGAGATACAGGGGGGTAATTACTAAATTTTCTGACATATAGGCAGCATTTTTGTAATACTGTTTAGGCTGGTTGCAAAATAAAAACCGGCAGGAATTATAATGTTCAACCTTAGCATTAATATTTAGTTATCGGACATAGCCAGCCTATGCTAATAGATTTCTCATTCGATTTTTAGTTTTCTATATGACGCATATTTTGTTAGCCTATATTCCCGACCAAAAAAAAGAAAACCAGTTAACAATTTAGACTAGCCAAGCACATTATTCAACTTAGCCTGTTGCCTCAGCTAGCCACAACACTAGTGAATTCAGTAAACACCAGTAAATTCAGGGAATAGGGATATAACAATATGTCAAATAAATATTCTGGTCAATATTTATGACGAAACAACACAAAATGTAATTGTTTGTTTACTCTCCCGCAAATGCAACGCGTGCCTCAGATAATGAAGCGGGCTTGGGTTATGACGCCCCGTTAATGAGTGGGAGACAACAGGGTTTAGCAAACTTACTCCAACTCAAAGTAAAGTCGGGAATGACACCATTATGCAGTTCCATTGCATAATACACCAAAATGGTCCTTGTGTTAAGTCAATAAAAATGCCATGTCAGTTATCAATAAAACTTCATTCGTTCCAAACGAGTGCGCCTGCTCACAGAGAGTTTCAAGAGCTACTGCACAGCTTGGATGCAGACTTTGATGACATTCCATATTACACCGTGGTCCGATGACTGAGTCGCGGAAAAGTGCTGAAACAAGTGTTTGAACTCAAATATGTAATACAAGCTCTCATGGAAAGTAAATAAATAGTATTGCTGAATTCAATAACGAAGAATTCCACCTGCTGCAGTGCGATTAGTGAAAGCGAGTATTGAGTTGATGTTTTGCTCGCGTGGCCCGCTTTCAAAATATGAGTTATATTTTCCAGTCATATCCTGAAGCACATAGATTTACACTCCTATGCTCTGAGCCATCCCTAGAATCCGGTACACTGAACTAGCTACTACAGTTTGCAATTCAGGATGAAAATTAACTTATGACCGGCATTTTAAAAGACGATAAACAATTCTATATGTGCACAACATTTGAACAGTACTGATAATAGCTAATTCCATGATAAAAATGAAAATACAACACTAAATGAACTGCGATGGCCATGCACGCAAACAGCAACATGGTCCAACATTAGCTCACTGTTCAGCTCAAAAACATCAATCCAATCCCAATCCCACAGTAACAAAACCACAAACAAACATCCCCGATAACCCACCGGAGGAACTCCCACAGACACAAACAGTGGCGTATCTAGGGTATGGCAGCCATGGCATGGCAGCTTTATATATTAAGTATAGAGAGGGGCGAAACAAAGAAAACAAATTTTAATGACATCATTGACGAATTTGAGTCAAGAAAGGCACGAAAAGTACTATTCTAAAATCTTGTTTTTGCCCGATCGTCCACTGTTTATTGTGCCGTTATCAAATTGCTCATTATGTAATTGAATTGCGTGGTTGAGAGAAATCAATTTCATATAAACTATAAAAAAAGAAACAAGCGAAGTAGGGGGCGCATTTTTAACCTTTGCCATGGGCGCCATTTCACCTAGATACGCCACTGGACACAAAACACCCAAAATCCAACTGAAAACAACCACACTGTAGCGGTATCAACCACAGCACACGCTAACAGGCCACACCCAAAAGAACAGATCGACAGTGTTACAGAGCCCCCAGTGTCCCCAATGCCAAAATACCTAATTTGAAACAATATCACATGACATCATTTAACAGATAAAACAAGGGACGTAGGATAGGATAGGATTTGCATATTTATCCCGGAGGAGAGGAAAGCCGATAAGACGGCTTATCCATATGGCGAACCACGGCCTCTCGTCCGGTTACCATTCCAAGTCGGGTATGGGATTAGTTTTTACTGTATTGTTTGTTTTCGGAAGCATGGACTTGGTGGTGGAGGAAGCCGTAACCGACCAGCGGTTACGTGAACCACCACGACGGCGAGGAGTCCAGCAATCCTCTCGCACATAACCATCCCTGCATGGGATTCGAACCTGCGAACCCACGCAGAGTAATTAGAGGTGCGGTGGCGAGCATATTCCTAACGCTTCCTGACGTCACACATATAAATGGATAAATCTCGGTTACGAATGCGCGAAATTAATTTTAAAAAGGCAATGAACAATCTTGCTGGTAAAATCACTTGGGATATCACAACTTCAAATTTATTTAGTGTATGTATTCTTTGCCTTGTAAATAAATTTATGTTTATTTCTGGTCTGTCAAAATTAGCGTTCATTTTCTAAAATATTTGCATTAGTAACAGCGTAACATTTTCGAGAATAAATGCACAATGTTCCAGTCATCAAAGTTTGCTGAAATGAGTATCTTTGGTTTGAAGAAAACTGAGCTTTTAATTTGAACTACTTACTACAATATGTCATTTGAGGTTTGAATTGTCGAAAGATAGCTAATGCTAAGGGGACACAAACAAGTGCTGCTCATATTCGTACAACTGAATGGGAAATTCTGAATGAACACGTACGATGATTTGCAGTTGATTTTGACCATATTTCATGATTAAGTGATAGATCTGGTTCATTTAATATGTGAATATATACGGTACACACAGGCTGACAAAAAATTTGAATCCCATCACTACACACACATATAAAATAATGAATAAACACACACAGTTTTGGCAATTGACTGTGTAGTCACGATGCGGCGTCGAGGTCATGTTACCATGAGACTGTTACCACCGATACAGTCACATAGGTAATGAATAATCGTACAAGTTCAATGTGTTAGTAAATCCTCCACATCTCAAGAGCGGTACATCAGGAACAGTCATATGCTTCTCTAAATACGCTAGCCCAGTGGTTTTCAACCTTTTTCGTGGAGCGGAACCAAAATGAACATTCCAGAACCTCGAGTAACCCCTGTGCAGAAGTTTAACCGTAAATATATACTACTACGGTTTAACTGCCTTTTATTGTCTGAATTGCAATAAAATATGGATATATATATATATTTATAAAAGAAAACCTAATATGTACCGGATAAACAAAATGACCTTCAAAGTGTGGCACGTGTTTGATAATAGCTGAAACCATAATAAGTTTTGATTGCAATAAAACAATATACATATATTAGGTTATATACTATATAGGCCTAGTATAAACCAGAGGTGGGCAAGGTTTTTGAACCAGGGATCGAAAATTTTGCCCACCTAGTATGGCGGGCAATGTGAGTGAACAGTATGTGTGACATAAAAATGTACATTTTATAAACTATATTTATAACGCTACAAAGCAAATGCGGAAAACTCAATTGAACCGCAAATTCAACAGATTTCTTGAGATATTTTTGACTAGAACATTAAAATTTGGTGTCAGTCTGGTTGTGGTAGCATCAGGCGGGCCAGATTCAATTACCCAACGGGCCGGATTTGGCCCACGGGCCGTACTTTGCCCGTGTCTGGTATAGACTCTCGAATTTGAATGGAACTTGGTGAAATCGGAGATGATAGTTTATTCTCGCTTCTGTCGCGGCACAATCTGGGTGGTATACCGAAATACCGGACGAGAGGCCGGGCTTCGCCATATGATTATGCCGTCTTATTGACTTTCCTCTCCCCCGGGATAAATACATAAATCATATCCTTAATAAACATTGAGATTTGAGAATACAAGATATGAAAATATGAATTGGTAATCGTACGTTGGCCATGGTCCCTAATAATTGAAACTACTCGTAGTCTCTGGGACAAATATGAAACATACTACTGTATCGTAGTCTCTTTTTGGTGATGTAAAATGGTATGAGCCATTTTCGCGAAAGCCTCTTTTAAAAATTATTCATTATATTAGGTCGATTGGTCTCAAAAATGAGCGTTAGGATTTACCTATCTATTTTTCGTGGGTGATGGAACTATTATTTTGGAACATGTTACCAAAATTTTTCAGTTTGTCTTGATTTTTTGTCGCGAAAAAATTATTCCCGGAAAGCGCAAATATGACCGACGATACCGTAATATGTGAAACCCAATTTATGAACGTAGATACGCCTGTACGACCCAAAGCGTATATATAATACAAGCGAGGCAACGCTCTGACAATGGACGCCATCTTGTGCCTATTGTTCTCGGCCATATAACACGGCGCCTTATGGGAAGTTCTCACACAATTATTGAAACATACCTAATATTTTCATTAATATTTAAGATAAAAAGATTTTGAAGGTCGCATTTTGAAGTAGAAGCTTAGGCGAACATGATGATATACTTTCATGTTTGCTAAATTGCATTTATAGTACATTAAATTGTCTTTAAATACAAGTATGCCGGTTTCGAGTTGCTTCCGAAGTAAGTTGGCCATTCTCATCATCATAATTGACCATTTGACAATAGCGTTCTTTGTGATGTCACAGATGGACAGTTGTATTTATTCGTCGAAATTACCTCGGGACTCAAATTCGCTTCAATGGCCGTTTCCATTTCGGGTCAACATTTTCTCGCCTGTCAAGCTCCATAATGCCCGCCTGCTCACTCCGTGCTGCGCTAGAAGACCAAATGAACATTGTAGGATTGTTGCGTGGCATTATACTCCGTCAAAATCGGCGTATCACTCTAAAGTTTCCAAAAGATGACCAAAAATGGTTCAACGTTGTGTTTGTGGCCAAATTTAACGCATTAGATAGTTTTTTATTTTTAATTACGTTATATATTTAAGTAGCATATAGCTTAAAGTTCAAAATCCACCCTTCGGCTTTATTCTAGCCCTTATAACAGCTGACTTATTGAATTCGGTACAACAACACGACGCAAATTTCCCATAAGACTCCATTGTTTCGCGTTTTCCCAATATGGCACAAGATGGCGTCCATGAACCTGTTTTACATTAGGCAAGTTGGTTGCCGGCCCTTGGTACGACCCACGCTTTTCTCGACTTCCACCAGTTAGTTGTCGATCTGTGTTCTTTTCTCGACTACCGGTACTGCAGCTCTGGGACTTGGTTTGTTTATTGATATTTAATGGCATACGGTACCGGTACCGGTGGCGAATAGTGTACACATTTCAGAAGTTTATAACCGTACTGTAATTGGAGGCTTTCATTCAGTTACCGGTACTCCACCGTTGTTACGCTGTCGCATTGTCTGATTGTGATGATTTAACCGGCTTACTGCAGTACCATTACCGTCTGACTGTACGGGTACCGGTACGGTACCGTATTGGCTAACCCTGTTAGGCTGTTAGCCGTGACTCTTTCATCTGTCTGGCTGTTCTTCATACTGCTGTACTGCTGTACTGTGGGACTGCCAATAATTTTTGAAATATGTAACTGGTCTCAGATGATAGAATACTAGAATTCTCGAACCACACATGCTGACATGATCACTCCCCACCTGCCCAACATACATTCAGACATTCGTCCGTCGGTCCTGCAGTCTGTTGGGTGTCTATTCCCTGATTCAGGATATGGTAGTCTAGTTCATCCTGTCATCACTCAGTAGGCCTACTGCTGTACTGCAGTACTTTCGGAGACATCATCACAGCAGTTACGGAGAAAAAGCTGAAGCTAGGAATGTACAAAATGAATCGCATTTCTGAATGATTAATATCTGAGAAATTGTTTCATGAACATATGCCGAGAACAAGACTTCAGCGTCTTCAAGTACTCACCCGTTTCAGCATTTGCCTATTTCTGTATTTAAATTCATTTATAGAATGTATCATTTTGGACATGAAGTTTTACAGTAGACTACGACAGACGACAAAAAAGTTTATTAAAATATGTAAATCCTCTCCTATCCTAGATTTCTGAAAATGATGTGGAATAGATAACCAATTAATCAGTCACTGATGTATTTTCAAACTCATTTTATGTCTATATAAATCTGTACATCGACTTGTACCACTCTACAGAACAATTTACAGATTTATGACTCAATTTAGAATATATTCAATAATTCACAGCTCACGCTCATTATTAACATAAATTTAAAATTGTATGGAATGGTGAATTATTGAGTTATGGACTTATGACCATCTCTGGTAAACATGGAATTGCTCAACACAGCATCAAATGATCAGTGTCAATTGAATACGCAAAACAATTGTGTAAACTTTTATTGAAATTTGATATCCACAGAGTTGATATATTCATAACTTATTTAGTTGATTGTAGTGTCGTATTCAAATTATTAACTCTTATTATTAATTTAAGATATATTAATGAGTAATGACTTTAATTTACACTTATTGCTGTATTGAGGCTAATATCAAGGTGAACAACCACCTAGGTATTTTGCCATGACACCCCACATTTAGAACATTATTCAAACTGATAGTTTTAGTGGAAACCTTACTTGAAGTATTGTTATGGGATACTTCGGTCTTATCTATGTTTCACATTGATTCATACATATTGTAAAAATAGGATTTTGACATGGTTTGCTAATGTCTTGTTTACCAATTACAATTCTCTTTTTTGCAGGTGCATATTGCAACAAAGATTTATTTGTTGTTGTATGAGTGATACTTTATAACAAACAATATTTTTAAAAACTGGAATGGCGTTATGAATTTGACGTTTCAAACATTCATGGATCATCTTGTTCTCAAGTCCCAGTCCTAGGAAGAAAATTGAAAATGTCGTCAGGAACTGCTATCTCAGTGTCCGAAAACAACATCAAAAATATTACCAACATCACAGGGCCACAAGCAGTAGAAGAATCAGAGAAAACTTCAAACACTGTTTTCAAAACAGATAGCTCTAATATGCAGAACCAAAAGTGTTCTCAGAATTCACTAGAGGTATTACTCTTCAACTTATTTTTTTAATGTCAATTTGTAACTTAATAGATGATGCTAATTTTGAATTTATTAATGGTAATAGCTTGAATATTATAAAACGAACATTTTTGCGCCATTTTGTCTGAACCTGTATAGGAGATAAAGATGTTGCCTACCAGCGTTCATGTGGACTACCTGATTATTTTAAAAAGTTCAGAGATTTTATTGTGCGTGATCAAAACTCGAAAAACTATTCATTCCATTGAAAAGAATTTATAAACCTCGTTTCATTAGGTTCTACTTTTCACATTATCTTTTAGTTTCAAATTTCATTCGATTACCTTCAAAAATAGCGGAGATACAACTTATTATTTATCATTCACACATTCTATCGAGAACAGTTTTTCATTCAGTTTAACAATAACCTTAACTAGAAAAAATGACCTTCCGGGCGTTACATTTCCTGCTGTTCCATTTTTTCCAGAATCATTCACCAAATCAGATTGATAAAAATGACCATTCACATATTGATTCCAATCATATATTGCGACCTGCTATGACGGAGAATATTAAGCAGGTTTTGAATACATCGTCATTTCCATCTCAAGGGAAGTCTATCTTACTAAACAACTGCACTGTTGAGAAGAAACTAATGATGACAAATGTGAGCTCTCATTTATTGATATTCAATTAGACAAATACTAGCACATTAACACAACTATTAGTTATTAGTGCTCTTCACAGAGTTCTCATTTTTGTATCACCGTTGGGCTTGCCATGGAATCCTTTTAAATAGGTTAAAATTTGTATTGGCAAGTAAAAAAAGGATTAAATGAATATTAATAAATGAATAAATTCAATTAATGTATTCATCTACTACGAAATCTTTCATGATATTTAAAAAAAAACTATATTACTTGTATAATTATATTCATTACCAAGGCAAGAATTAATGTTAATAATTCTGTAACAATTACTGAGCATTTCTGGCTTCAAACTAAAAATATTATCAAATATTGAACTGTTTAGGTAAAATACTATCTCTTGTGGGAAGGCTTTTCCATGTATATTTCAGGGAATCATATATATCTATTGCTATACTTGAAATATATTACATTTGCTCATAATACATATTGTTTTATTTGTAGTCTGTTGGTGCATCAGGTGATGGTTTACCACAGAATGAGAATATTGTTCTGCTTAAAAATCAAGCAAATATCTTGTCATGTACTGCTTCGAAGGATAAAGAAATTTTGAATGATAAGACTTCAAGTATAAAAACCAAAAATGCACCTAAGATATCCGGACAAACCTACGCTATAGCTGCAAGAACGGCAACTTCAAATTCTGGTGGTAAAAATGCATACAAAACTACATCTAAGAATCCGATAAATCCAATTAACGTGCAATCTGCAATGAGAGATTCTGAAGCAGTAACAGTTCAAAAGCCTGCTGCTGAAATGAATGGAATCTATCAAGAACCTAATGATTCTGACCCGAACCTCATTACCAACAGTTCTCCTCCAGTTCAGATTTCAAAAACCAAGGTAAGAAGTGTAATTTCCTCTTCCTGTAGTTGCTAACCAAACTTGATAAGTAATTCACGTTGCAGTTCTTACCACTTCATGGCAGCCCCTGCCACGAATGAACCACGGCTTCTCTTGCAATGGTTTTATGGCGCTATTCAGTAATCAGTAATACCGGTATATTCACAAAGTCATGTACCAGATTTTAGTTTACCATGCAGAATTATATCTACTTACTAAACCTGAAACCTAACCCCAAATCCATCAAAATCTAGGAATGTTCAAACTAACCCAATATTTGTCACCATCAGGGGCAGCCCTGCCATTACAGCCGACATGCCTTGGTTATGGCAATAAAATTTTACCCGCCATTGGTTTTCAATTTGCTGCTGTGGTACTAGCATCGCGCCATTGGTGTGTGGCAGCTAAAAAGTCAGTCGCCGTGGTTTGGCCATAGCGGCCATGGTTTGGAAATGCCTTCAGATGCCACAAAATACTTGAAATCGCACTTGAGTAATTCAGCGTTGTGTAAACTTTTGATTTTTTGTTAGAGGAGGATAGGAGGATTATGTTCTTAGAAATGTAACCGTGCGTATTCCCAAGTTTCGTATAATTGGCCTTGTAGCCTATGACTTTCTGTCAGAAGGCGTTCTTCATTGAAGGCAACTCTGCTGGCTACAAAATGTTCAGGATTTACTAGGTTTAACATAGGCGCATTCCGGCTTTGTATGAAGAATGTTTTATGCCAATTATGAATTCTACGTATTAAAGGTACAGATGAATTCTTGTTGGGATAACAATTTGAAACCGTTGCGTGTTGTATCATCAAACTGTCATTCAAGCAACCATGTTCGCATAGCTCGATAGTTTTGTTGGTAACTGAACAAGACTTCATGCTTTATCATATAATTAAACAATTCTAAAATGAAATTTTCTCTGATCAAGCCAATTGTCCTTGCTATGTGAATACAGGAACTAGATAGTCTGTCTAGTTTTATTTGTGTCTATCTGTATTTCCTCAAGATGGTGCTGTTGCGTAAGAATTTGTTTCCAGTCTTGGAACAAATTTGACCCAGCTCACTGTGATGTTAACATGCATAATGTGGTAGTCATTTCCCTCATTTGTCAGTTTAATCATAGTGAAATCTTTCACAATATGTTATTTGAGAATTCAAAACATTTGATTCTAGAAATAATTATAAAATGAAATTTGTGACGTGTTTCAATCGTATTTTAGAGCAAAACTTTCTCTGTGGTATTGAATCTATATTTCAATTACTAGTATATTATTAAATGTTCGTGATCTGAAACATACCAGTATATTGAAATTGTATATGATTGTTGTATGTTATTAATTTGATTTGTATATGATAGTTTATATTATATTTGCTTGGTCTGTAATTCTGAAAGAGTTATTCTGCCATTTTACCACTGGTCTAAGTCATGCATAATTATGCTGTTGCTCTTCAAGATATAAGATGCATTCCTGAAGTCGCATGAACGGTTGCATGCATTATTCATTCTAGTATGCTACCAAAGGTATTGCTTGTCGTATTTAATAAATTACTTCACTGTAGGAGTATTCCCAATGCACAGAGGTTGGCGAGTCTGGACATGTTGAGTCACGCGTCGAACGCATTATCAAGTTGAACTCCTAATTTGTTGGTAACCTAATTATAAGTTAATTAAGCTTTTATCAATTGTTATGTACGGTAATATTTTTGTGTTAGCGTTTTATCTACAGAACCTAATAACATAGAATTCTTAGCGAATTTGGATTTGCATATTTTCCGAACATGTATAATACCAGACTGCTAAATACGATATTATGTGCGAATAGTTTGGTGTGATGTGTGAAATTAATGCACATGATGTAAATGAAGAATTTTATCGGAACAAAATTTGAACTCGAGTTTTTTTTTTAGAATTTGTATAATCAAAATTTGAATTTTCTTGTTATATTAGTGTTTGAGTGGCATGAACAATGAACATAAATATTGAATTGTTTGAAGCAAATCAAGATGATTTTAATGTTATTCCATCCATCCATCCCGTATATAGAATTTTGTATTTAACTAATATGATGTATACCTGACCTTGAACATTTCGTTGAGAAATCCCATGGGACCTGGATTTAAATTTTTGTAGGTTTGTTTCTCAGTATCTTCGATCAGGGCTCACACTGTTGTTGAGATTATTTAGGATCAAAATGTGCTTGAGGAGTTTGTTACTCATAAATCAGCAATTTGCTTTCAAGTAATTCCCTGAAGAGTTTTTTAATCCCATCTCAACATTGTCTCATGATTTAATAGTTGTTAAGCATGGGGCTGATAAAAATATGTTACTTTCAAATGTCAGGGAAAGTAAATATTGTTAAATATGCTATCTATTTTTTTTGAAATTTTTGATAAAATATAATAGGCAAATAAGAGAGAAATTATTGGCAGGGCTCGACTTGGAGAGTATTTACATTATTTTGAAACATGACAGAACTGTATGTTCTAGCATAAATGTATTAAATAAGCCTTGGCAAAGGAATAGTTTTTGTGACTCAATGTCAGAGTTCTCTGGGGAAAATGGACAGACGCCTAAGGTAGGAAAGTACTATAAGTATCTGTATCTGATTACTAGGTATTCTTCGTCTTTTTATTTCAGTCAACTTTAATTCTTGTTTTAATTAATTAAGCATTCATGTTTATTTTCAAGGAATTTAATCAGCAACCGATGAATAGGGCCTATAGTCTGGGCTATTCTTTAATTTGTCAGTGCCAACTGCTTAAGTATCTTCAGTTTTGTGTGTGATTTTAAATGAAGTGTACATTCCTCAATAGAAAGACATACGGTAATTGAAGAATAATATCCATACATACTTGATCTATAAGGAAAATTATATTTTGTAACAAAAATTTCGTACATCAGCATACTTTATACATTGTATGTGAATGCTGGTTTTATGCAACAAAAAACCAAAATTGGATATTATTAACAGAATTTGTTGCTGAACTATTCAACCTAACCCTATAGTGGTACATTGCTCAATTTTGGAATACTTGGAAGGTTCCTATTGAAATATTTCATTTCCTTTCCACGTCATTATTTGTTATTGCTGTCACCTGTCAAAAATTAATTATGAGTTGAAGATGGAGTTAATGAAGGGGATCTTCTTTTCTTGTTGTTATCATCACTGCATTCCTACTGTGCAAAGGTTTTTCAATTTTGCATTCCGATGGTTGCGCAAATGCAGGCGGGTGATGACCAGATACTCAAATGATTTCATAATCAAATGTCTCGTGGGATTTGCTGTTTTCAGGCACCTACACCGTGCACTGAGACTGAAACAATGTGGGGAATTTTTGAGTTGGCTACAGAATGCAAAATCCAACCATACAAGGGTGAAATATGGGTGCTCTTGCTTCACAGAGGCCACACTTCATATATAAGTTTATATGAAACTGTTTTGTAAGAAATAGGGCGAAAGATTTACATATTGATTCAAGTTGTTGGTATTACTAACGCATACAGATCTGTTTCGGGAATAAAGAATTTTCTATTGTTTAAGAAGTCATGTTGAGGTTGTATGACTTTAATGATAATGTAAGTTAATTTAAGTTTGGATCAATTACTCTCTCATCTTCATTGTTTTTTTAAATCATTGCTTTAATCATAAAGTGAAAACTGATGGCTTGTATGGGGTTATTTATCAACTGGAGAAGGTGTACTACCACCTAGACTAACTAGATAGAAAGTAGAACAGACTGGTTGATTTTTAAAGGGTCATTTACTTGATTCAAATTTAGTTTGAACTAGATAAAACTGGTCATCCCTAGCCAGGGTCAGCGATGAAAATAATTTTTTTTTTAAAATACAACAGACTTCTATAAATTTTATGTACAATGATGAAATTTTCCTCGATATGCATTTTCATTTCAAGGTGTTTTGTAAACAGGCTATTAATATCAATTGCGTATTATTAGGTTATACAATTGTTTGTTTCAATCCGCAGAAAAGAGATGTTTCAATAGGTGATAGTTGTAACAAAACACAATAAGGTCTATACATATGCATTAATAAATACACTATATACATTTTATAAAAAATTGTTATTTTGAGTCAGTGCAGGTCAAACTACCTACCGTAATTAGGGTTTTTGAGTGATGTCATTAATTTGTCTGTCTGATTCGCTTGTAACTTGAATGAAATTTTGCATAGTAAAATTATTTTCAAAATTGAATTTATACAAAATTATGTAACTCAACTTTTTCAAAAGTTGTTATGTTAGATTATGATATGTAGGAAATAAAATACAAACATAGAAATTAGATAAAGTTATCTAAAGTTGTATAATGGAATTTGATAATACATTTGACAATGACAATTTTGATTGACTGATGGCTGTACTCTATCAAGTGGTAACTGTATCTACATACAGCAGCTGATACTTAATTAAATGTCACCGAATAAATAGGTCATCTTCTACGCTGTAGTGATTTGCGTCGCTCATTTGGGGTGTTTCAGCCCCATCTTGAATTTAATTGTCCATTTTCATATATTTACATGGCATTGAATTATATATTGTCGAACAGACAGTTAGTTTTTATTAAATCGATTTCTTCTAGACTTGTATAAACTATGTTAGATGTAAGTTGCATGAAGTTGATGCAACTTTTTTGAAAATAACGCACTGAATAATGCATGGTATCACTACTAAATAATTGAACAAAATTTGTGGTTTACTGATCACCTGAGGAGAAATAGTTGTTTTTAATGTAATAATGCTTTTCGTGTGAGGAGCCTTCACATTTTGTTAAAACCCAGTTTAAGTGAAAAATCTGTAATGATGTTTGTTTATATTATCTATATTTCAACCTTTATAAATTTAGCATCAATAATTTTAGGGAAAAAAATTCAAGAAATCAATTTGCATTTAAACTAGAGATAATTTAAATGACATGACATTTGCTATTTAATTTCTTCAACTTAAATTCATCAAATTATCAATTTTTAGTCATTTTTATCTTGATACACTTACTTAAATATATGATTACAGGAAATTAACCTTGTTATTAATAAAGAAGATATTTGAATGTTAGAAACAAATATGCAAAAAACATTACCACTTGTAAATTGATAGGTCTGGAGTCGGGTCAATAACATATGTTTAGTGTCTGCAGATTTTGATGCATTTTAAATATAGCAATAAAACATATTTTGGATAATAGTTCGCTGAAGGAAATCTGAGCTAACCATACTTGTTTGAACATAAAAGATTTTTAAAACTAGAAATGTGAAATAACTGCACATTATCGTATATCATTTTTATCAAGTTCTAGTACAAAACACCAAGATATTTTACCTATTTTTAATTGTCAAATTTAGTATGATTTCATATAAAAATTGTAGACATTTTGAAATCATTTTTAGAACTTGCTTGCTCTCTTTCATGTCTAATTTTCTAAAAAGTAATGCAGATATGTTTCATTTCCATTTAATCTTCATATATTCTTCAGTCTCTGTCGCAGAGCAGAATGAAACTGCTTGTACGGAGCAAGGCAATCTGTCAGGACGATTTTACAATCAATCTGGATTCTCACTACCCTCTCGATTCACCTCTTTCGTCTTCTTCTGTTTTTATATCTGACTCCATCTTTCCATCTCCTTACCCCATTTCTAGAGAAGAAGTAAGTATCAGAGTATGGATGTTTGTTAGTCTGGCTGTACTAAATGTCTGAATGTTGTAGTTGTATATGTGATCATCATTTTTGAAAATTATATGCTGTGGCTGGTTGCATTGTCTGTATGTATGTGGCCTGGATGTTATCTGTTTAATTAAATACAACTCGACATTCTATTCTGTTTTTTTCTTGTAATTTCTGCTAATTCTTGTTTCTTGGATATATAATTCTTGGCATATTATGATATTGATTTGACAGCTGGTTACAGTGTACAGTTTCATTGGTTCAATTCGTATCCTGTATGGTAGGATTTCATACCAACATAGAAATGGCCAAGGGATGAGAGATTGTTGTTAGGACTGGGTATTGCAGTCGGGTTCAATGCAATCCGTCAGTTTTTTTTTTAAAGCCATACAATTCTGACATGTGACTCTTTTTTGCGAGTGAGTTATCAATGAAACGTGTTTCAAATTGTGTGTGAACAGACTTTTCAGTAATTTATGCGTCTGGAGTATCCATTACAATAAAAAAGTCTCGTATAATTATATTATGTCTTCCAAGAATTTAAGATTCGGATCAAAAAAATTATTTGATTGGATTCGGAAATCATTGACTATTCGAAAATGCCCAGCTCTAGCTGTTGTTTGTCATATAAATATGATATATAAATCACATTCACAATGCATCCAGAAAGCAATTCAAAACTTATGAATTTAAATATTTTATCATATACCGGTATTTGAAAATAAGTTTAGACATAACGAGAGTGAAAAAACAAAGTTTCTAATGTATTACTTGAAGTCCAGAGATATCCATTGCAATTTTATTTCTGATGTAAATATTTCTTCATCTGGTATAACAGAAGAGCAATGCAAAACGAAGTAGTATCATATCTTTTACAGTACTGGTAGTCTACTTAATAAAAAAGACTCCTGACTTCGCTCAGATTCGATCACGGAACCGCCACATGGTCTGCACTTTTAAATTTTGATGACATTATCACACAACAATTCAAAGTGAAAAACAAATCATATAAAGTCTACAGAAATTTTTGAAATGAATAAAAGAAATATCCTTCTAGTGATAGTAACAATTAGTCTAGTACTTGAAGAGAAAGACGACTATTTCACAACATCAACAACAAGAATACAATTTAACAAAATTATCCATAAGCTGTCACACCCACATCTCGTCCAATGATCCTGTCTCCAATATGAAAAAGTTAGGCAAAATTTATTGTGACTGACATTCTTCTGTACACGTACTTCTTACATACTGTTGTGACTACCATATTTGTGTCTTCACATAGTTGGTTGACAAAGTACCAGTAGTACTTCCTCAAATTTTGGAGTATCTGTTTTATATCATAAATAATTTATAACTAAGCTTGGTCCGAATTTAATTGTTATCACAATAGTTCTGGTCTGAACTTTGTTGCTTGTATTATATATTGTGAATAATGCATGAAAGGATTTCTGCTTATGTTGCAGTTGCTTTAGAGAATTTAATCGGGTAGCTTGACTGACAGTTATGTATTAAACAAAGACCGGCATGTAATGTTAGATAAATTAACCAAAAACCTTTGTTATTATTTCTATCTACATTTTTAAAGAAGCAATAAATAAGTTATATATATAACATATAAAACTATTTATAGCAGTTTATTTCATTATTCTTCAAAGCTAACTGAAAGCCATCTTTTGACATCTCTCTCTTTTATTCATGTTCATCAGTTTGTGGATATTATCGTAGTTTGTTTATTTTTTACTCTTAATGATTGTAATATCATCCATCCCGATACTGATATCATCGATATTGATTTTGAGCAGTATTTTATTAATAATGCATTTCTATAATACATTCAAAATATATTGTATTATTTTTTCCATCCGCTATTATTAATAATATTTTCACTAATATGTTATGAATTCATCAATATATGCAATTATTAGGATACTCAAAGTGTTCAAACAAATCCTTGTCATCCTTTTTCAAAATTCCTTGATATCGCGCTTTGAAAAATATGTAGCAATGCGTTTCTCTAATGCACACAGTATTCTTAATTTACTTACTTTAAATTTCTTCTGTTGTTTTGTGGTTAATTTAAATATTAGAATATATTAAATTTTCAAAAACGATAGATTTTCTATGACATAAAAAATTGTGGTTCTTATTGAAATTATTTGGTCATCTGCATTTCTTCCTGTGCATTTATATTTTTAATAATATTTTAGCAATATATAGAATAATTATAAACGAACAGTTATATATTATGAATTTTGATACAATTCTTTCTTGAATAATTTATTGAAAATTATCTTTCTAGTTTAAGTAACTGACTTTCTATTCAGATATTCTTAATTTTCAAAATCTTCTTGTCAGGCACTCAAAGAAACAATTGGTCATATATCCACGAGATTGCCTGATGATTTTCCTAACACAAGACAGAGCTCAAGTTCGGAAGCTCAACTTCCTAATGATCAAGGTAAGATCGTGTTCAGCAACTGAGTTTTTGGTATTTGGTATTTTTGTTATCCTAAAATCTTGATATAAGAATTCAAATTTTTCATCCAGAAATACAAATATTGTCGAATTCTGAACGGATGACAGATGCTGGAACTCATGATGTTTCAAATGAAAATTCACCAAACAATCTGGAGCAAGATCTGTTGGGTGCAAAATTAAGCAGTGGTATGTCCTTTTTGTTGCACATAGTTTTTTTTTATATGATCGTAATTAAAAGAATTTGGGTTTCATAATACAGACTTTTAAAGTATAACTGTGTAGACCAATCATGCAAATGGGTTGAATTACTAAATCCTGTTCAATTAATAATCCTGTTTTGTCAGTTTTCAATGCTGAATCGCTTCGAATTTTGAAGCCTTTTTAAACGAAATACTGAAACATATTTGATTACTGTATCTGATTATGGCACTTTTTGTATGTTTAAGCGATTTAATTTTACCCATAATTTCAAATAATAAAATTCTGTAAATTGTTATTTTCAGGTTCACTTAGAAGAGAAGCAGAAAAACCACCAAGAATGCAGAAACAAAGAAGTCAGGATCGACTATTATCAAAACAACAAAAGCCAAGCTTTGATACAGATAAAAGAGAAACATTATCAAGAGGTGAAGGCATGTTCTCTTTTATCTATATATAAAATATTATTTTTCATCATCATTTCCTGATACTACATTATAGTCATATACATTTTGTTTTTGTGTTCAGTGCATTCTAACAATTTCATCTGTTTTTTTACTGGAAAAAGGCTGTATTTGTATGGTAGCCCACTACAGTAATTTTCTACTTCATCCTGAAAGACCTGGTCACTCAGAGCAGCATAAACTTCTTTATCCTAATGATTTGAAACGTTTTGTTATTATATTTTTTAGAATCTAGCATTGAATGTGTTGATTCTACTGGAGTTGACGTTCATGAATTCCTAATAACGACATTACGCAATAGTACAAGAGATCGAGCAATATTACTGAAGATAGAACATGACATGATAGATTTTGTCAATGACAAAAAGTAGGATGATTGTCTATTTTATATGTATTCAAATATAGTGTGTGTATTAACTGTATAACTTCCCAAACTTTTCAAGCTCTGCAGCTTATTTTCTGTAATTCAAATCATGACGCATTGGAAAGATTTTACTTTAGAAACATTTCCACATCGAAAAGTTTTACATTATGTTCATATTTTACCAATGCAATACTTTGCTTTTATAAACATAAAGAATCACTACTCTGAATGTTGGATAAACCAGTCGTACTTTCCTCTCAGCTTTAATTTTATCAGATTTGATCATTTTATGTCAAAATCTGAACACAGGCAGAAATGCGGTACTTTTTAGAAAATGGATTGATAATAAGTGACAAACTTGAAATTATTGCTGTTTCATAGTGATAGTTTATGTATAGTCTTTCCTGCAGCTTTGACAGAGCCTCAAATGATTTAGAATAAATTCTAATCTTGGTCAAGGTCTGATTCCATTGGTCATGAATTTGAAATATCTGTTTTAATTTTACTTAATGTCTGTTTTGTATTAGTAACATAGAGCGCAGATATTTGTACTGAGACTGAGATATTATTGTTGAAATGGAAATAGCTTGCGCTAAAAACATTATGTCAAAAAATGCAAATTTTTTAAATATGACCATTGTTTTATATTCATATAACATATTTTACCTTGAAACAATTTTATCCGACCTTTATTTCAAGATTTCTACATTTTGCCAGTGGTATCTTCTCAGAACATAATATGTTTAAATTAATGTGGATAAAATATGTCCCTTTTATTGTTTTTCTATATTTCTGTTTAATCATTATTATAAGGATTTTAAATAATAATTCTATTTTTTTTTAATCCAGGATTGATTTTATGAAGTTTCCTCCAATGACCTCGTACCATAGAATGTTGGTTCACAGAGTTGCAGCTTACTTTGGCATGGATCACAACGTTGACGAAACTGGAAAATCAGTGATTATAAACAAAACTAGTTCCACAAGATTGTGAGTCATCCACCCACACACTTGGCACCTAGTCCTCTAATCTATGTTAGATGAGATGTAGTTTTGTATCAAGCTAGCATGACTACTAGATAAGACATGCTATATATGTGTATTGCAGATGTTAGCCATGTTTGATGAGAGTTGTTTTGTGCATTAAAAAGCTTTTGTTCCGGTCATAGCTAATCAATATTTCGATAATCAAAATTTGCCTAATTGAAATGCTGTTGATGATAAACTAGAAAACAGCTTCAAAATTTTAAATGAAAATATTTTCAATCAAACCACTCCATTACATGGCTAAGAACTTGTTTGTGTTGATCAATATCAACCTTTCTGGAATGGGGGTGCAATATTAAAATTCATTTTTTTGTTCAATTTATTTCGATTTGGAAAAGAAATGAAAGAGTCATATTGAACTTAAAAAAATGTTTATTTATTTACAATTGTATTTATAGGTTATTAATAGGCATCAATGTTTCTTTTAATAGTCACAAAAGCTGGTTTGTATGTTAAAATCCCTCAACTCCTCAAAGCATAGGAAAGGCTCAATTGAATGCCACATTAAAATATAAGAAAAAGCAATAAAACTATTGACTCATGTCAGTTCACACTTTACATTATAGTGTTGATATTTACTGGTGCCTCTGTAGGTGGCATGGCACTATAGTGCTACAATTTCACCAGTAATTAGTTTGTACACTTGAGTCAGTTATCTCGCGTCTCATGAACCCTCGAAAAATCTTAATGACATATTGTTATGAAGGATAACAGGATACCAATTCTAGGCCTCATTGAACAGAATAAAGAACACCATTGCTACAACTTAACATTGTAAACAATATAATAATGTGTAAGCAGTAAAGTATGCAGTGCGGCGGAACTAGGGTATACCGATAATCAAGAGTACCTTATCTCAAAATTTCACTGCGTAGAAACACTAACTAACACCAAACATATATATTGTTTTTACGAAGACGATATATTTTAAACATAATTTGTGAGTCAGTCCAATGTGACATTTTATTTCTGCCATGATGAAAGTACTATTTACACACATTTTAGTCAGATTATAATCTCATGATATTTAGCCCTGATTTTAGCATTTAGATCGTTTGCCTCATAAATAGTAACAGTTGTCAATGAACAATATAAGAGATTTTTGTTTGCTTTGGTAAAAAAACAATTCTTTGACTCAACATCCGAATTAATTTCAGACCAGAAGTTCGATTTGCAGACCAGTTCGATCCTCGTCATCCCGACCCACATGTTGGTCGCCGAGATGATGATATGAGGCGACGATCCATATTGAAGCGAACACATCAATCGAGGAGTTTTGATAGAGATGATGTGAGAATTTATGTATGAAACAAAGATAATATTTGTTGAAAAATATATAGGTTTAGCTATACAATGTAATACATAGTTTGCACCATGAATGTTTTAATTTTTTATACTTCATGTGACTCACAATAAAGGAAAAGAGCACTTTTCATACCAAATTTCATTGCAGTGAAACAAAGTGAGCTTTTGTCACATTTTATAATTTTAAGAAAATTGTATTTTTGTAATTTTCAGGTCTATAATTAACAAGTGCTTTAAACCAATGGTTCTCACACTAAAAATGAATATGACAAGGCACTGCCTAGATTTAAATGTAAATGTAAATGCGTCTTTAAAACTCCGATTAAAAGATAGTTCCTAGCAAAGCTAACATGGTTTTACCTAGGCGATTTAGTGTTCCTTTGTCTTCTATATTGTTATTTGCTGATTTTAGATGAAAGGATGTGGGTTGTGGAAAGACAATCGTCAGCGATCAATAGAAGAAAGAGAAGAACAATATGAGAAGGTCAGGGCGAGAATTTTCAATAATCCAGAGGTGAATTAAAACGGTTACTCTAATAAAAAAGTTATGTGTTTTTTTTGTCTATCATTAACTTTGAAATATTTTATTTTGGAGAGGATTGGCAATCTCTTGTATAAATGTAATCTTATTTTCATTTTCAAGCTGGCAAATGTGCAGTCTCCATTGTACGGCCGCCGTGGAATGAGTTCTATAGCAGCTGCTCGAATTGCGTCTTGGACAGATAGACCATGGAACAGTACAGGTAATGTACAATGTAAATGCTAATACATTTTTGAATTGAAACTATTAGATAGTACATTATCTCCTCTTTTTTGTAAATTTTATTTAGAAAAGTAGTTAAACTATTTAATTTATAGTTTTATGTAGAAGAAGGGTACTTTTTGAGACTTCTTCATAAATTTTGAAATTTCAGATTTGGAGCCCATGTCGACTGGTATGCGAATGCCGCTGTCAAGACCTCTCACAACTAGAGCAAGCAGTTATTCAAGTATAAGTGTGCTGCCGAGACACAATAGTGCGACAAGTGTTAAGACAGGTAAAACTTGTACTTGTCGGAACTATTTTTGAATTTGGCTTTTACTAGTAATTGATTTACTTTTTAAAGTACAAAATTGATATATTATTAACTAATTTCATCTGTTTCAAAATTAATCTCTCTCAAAAAAAAGATCAAAATACCGAGATTTCAATACTGATTTGAATGATATTATCAATCTAGGAATCTAAAAAACTAACAAATCTCATTTCATCCCTAAATAAACCATATATTGATTACATGAACTGATGATTCAGGTTCCTCAAGCAGTGTATCTTCAATGAACGGGTTGAACAATGGAATGCAAAATTATCCACAAAACCGACCACCTCTCAATATGGGTCATCCAAGACCTCCCACACCAAACCGAAGATCGGGTGGAAATTCTGTGATGAATGAAAGCAACAATGGAGCATATTATTATATGCAACAACAGAATCAAGGTAGACTTTTTGCATTTTGTTGTATATATATATATATTATCATGTGTATATGAAACTTTGTTTTTAATAAGGTAATAGTTGGTATCAGATCAAAATATTGCAAAATATTATGAATATCTTTCTGAAATTCATAATCACTTGTATGATACTTTTATTTGGTTGCTGATAAGTTAATGGAAACTTTAAATATTTATTGAAGATGGTTTCATAGCAATATTCATTTCTCAACTTTCCATCAATATCCGCACGCTTCCTAATATCCTGTTATATCAACAATAATTGATAATTTTTCTACTTTCTTTCTCATGCTCTGCTGTTGCTTCGGATATATTTTTGGACAATGGTAATGATTTGTGTGATGTTGTGCTTTTGACATCATTTGTATGCTTTGCTTCATTCTGTATTTAAAGAACCTGCTTTCGATGCCATTGAAGATGACATTGCAGGTTCATGGTTTGGAATATCCGAGTCACCTGAACCAATGACAATGTATGATAATAATGTTGTTGTCCCTAACGATGCCCCAATTCTTCTGGCTGTACCTTACGGCACTACATTGCCACCAGAAACTGTGTTGTGCCATCCTTTGACAGGTAGCAAATAGCTTGATTTATAATGCTGTTATGTTGGCACTGCTTTTTCATTCGTAAAACAAATTTGATCTCGCTTTGTAGTATTTGGGCCCTGCAAAAGTAATATTCTTTCTTGTTCATTTTCCGCTAGTCTCTCAAAATTATGCAGACCCGTTGACTGGTGTGCTCTTTTCAACGATTTTTCGCTATTGCCCATATCGTGTAACTAAATTCTAGTATATTCTTATTGTAATATAGAATTCTATCCCTGATTTTCATTACGATTTGCAGATGAAACCAGCGGTCCTCAAACTTTTTTCATCACAACCCACTTGGCATGACCTAATTTTATCTAGAACTATAATAAAAATAAACTAAAATTTAATAATACAGAGAATATTAAAAAAATAATAATGAAATTGGCAATACTTCAATGAGGTCGATGTATTCGAATATTCCTGCTCAAAAGATCGAATCTTGGCTCTATTTCGGTGATGTACTGGTTCCAAAATTTTCAAATTGGAGCGATGTTTTGTTTTAACATAAGTTAGTGTCGAAAAAGATTTCACCATGGCCCCCTATGGGCCCTTTCGCGACCCACCAGGGGCTCCCAGTTTGAAGAACCCTGAATTAAACTATAAATTATGCTTGAATTCGAAAATTTATTAATTGAAATTATTTAAGGTTTTGGGTTGTGCAATAAATGATAGATAAATCTCTTCATATTTGTTACTGTTGTGTCCATTGTCATGCATGTCTCCAATATCACAAATACATATTTCTCATGTGAGATCTCCAATAACTCATTCACTTAAAGATGAAGTTGGTCGAAGTGAAGTTGTATTCATCCACTGAATTGATTGTAGTAATGAGAAGTCATTCATTTTTAAGTTATTTTAAATCTATATAATATGCCATATTACAGATAGGCTCAATAAAACCATGCGATGATGATCAAACTGTATATGAATCAAATAGTTTTGATTAAAATCATGAATTTTGTTTTGTTGGATTTGCTATTATAACATAATTGTTGCAGCTCCAATTATTTGATGTAAATTTATTATATAAATAAAAATGTGAAACATAAGTTTTATGCAGATAGTTAGTTTTCAGGATTCAAAATTGTTGTTTAGAAAGTCCGGGTTAAATTTTTATTTTTAAATTTTGAGGTACAACCTATTTTATCAAGTATTTATTGTAGTGTGCCATATCCTTCTGTTCATTGATACTTATATTATTTATTAAGGTTTGCCTTATCTGAGTCCCGAAGGTTACCAACTTTTTTATCAAAGTGGTGCCGTCAGTAGCGGAATGACATCACCTCAGTTTGCACAATACTACCAAATGCCTCCTCAACCTTCACCAAACCACCCTGGCATGGCATATGCACACGGATACAATCCTTATCAAGAATCTCCACAGAAAGGAGCTAATGTACCACACGCCTCTACTAATACTGGTATATTTTAATCTTCAATTAGTTTTTACAACTGCATTTCAAACTCAAATACATATATAAAATTGATTACCTTCACGTTCATTCATTCTGGAACAAATGACAGCCAAGTTTCCAACTATTTTTGCAGCATTGCATCATGATAAACTACTCTCAATATAAGAATTATGTTCTAATGAAAATGTACAAATTATCCCTAAATGAATTGATTTGTCTAAGTATTCAATTATTTTGTGGCTCAAATAACATGTGTTACATTTCTCTAATTTCTACTTTAGATTACACAATGATGACGCCCATGTCTAATTATCATCAACCAAACTTATCTTCAACAACGACAGTTTACTCTGGAGTTCAGGTAATTACCTAGAATTGTGAAGCTCATATCATTAAGCTGAAATAGGTAGTAACTGGTTGATTCCTTACCTGTTATATTTAAATTTAAACTGGACTATTTTATGACAAAATCTTTTGACCAACAAATTTTACATTACATTCACACATTAATCATATGCATGCAATTCCGTTACACTATTTTATATTTATCAGGGTCATCAAAATCCAAATTATCCATACCAGCCTCCAACATCAACCGGAACTGGATATAACAACAGCAGGTCAACACAAGATCAGACGCCTTCATCACAAACTACAATGCCAATGAATCATATGGTAGTAAACACAAATCAGCAGGTAACATTTTTTAATTGAATATCTGTTTTCCTTCTATTTTTTATATTGGGTAAGTATTTATACAGCTTTTGCTCCAAACTAGGCTCTGCACAGATAGCCATTATTTGTGTCCATGGTAGCTAAGTGACATAGTCAATAATGTGTCTGTTGTATAAACAACATCTCTAATTTTGTCTTCTTCTTACCATGTTCAGGGGAAACAGATGCCCATTGTTCCAGGTCAAAATTACATACAACATCCTGGTGGAGCACCTGTTGGTTATCCACAATATATATTGACGCAACAACCTGCCAATGCCACACCTGCTCCAGGACAATCACAAGCACCTCAGCCTGCTAGCAAAGATACCACAACACCACAGAATCCAAATGGTGCGGTCAACACGCCCAGACCATTGTTGCAGCAACCTTTGCCTATGATGCATCCTGTGCCACCCATGTATCAGCAGCAACAAGCAATGCATGTTATTTACTCCCCACCTGCACCTAATGCTGCTACTCCCGGTAGTACAGACGCTTATAATCAGGTATGTGAAGATGGAATATGCAGATAAATTGAAAATGCATTGGAAATTTTAATGTTATGCTATTAATTTGGGTTAAATGTAATATAATTTTATATTTAGTCCATCCTTGTTGAGGAGACAATGTTTTTTGATTCTGTATATTTTATCGTAAACTATCTGACTTCTCAATATTAAATTATCGTTATACAAGTGGAATAAAGTTTTTATCCTGATTTTTTTTATCTAGTCTGTCAATAATGTTGATCCTACCAAATCTTCAAACAATCAATCTCACCACCAACAACAAGAACCGAAAAAACTAGCAGAAGACGAATTAAATGAGAAGATGCAGGCTATCGTACTAAAGAATTTACAGGTACTTCTCAGTATCAAGCTTACAACATGATATTCTAATTCTTCATTCAATAGTTTTTAATGTCAATTTTACTTTTATAGCAACAGCAAGAACAGGCTCAAGTACCTGACGTTGCTGCTTCGAACTCTCCTACCACTGTGACGACATCTGTCACTCCTTCCAACAATCAAATCCAAGCAACAAAACAATTACAATCTCAACACATGATACCAGATCAAACTGGTCACAACCGGATTTTGTCTCATCCACCACCATCTGGTTCACATCAGCCCAACTCACAAGTACAACAAGGATATCAATATCATCAGTATGCAAATCCTAATGGAATGCAACAACATCAACAGGTTTGTTCTTTTTCTTAGAATTTCAAATTCTGTTTTTTTGTGTGTCATATCAACAAAATATATCATTTTTTAAGATGCAAGTATACTTGATGCCAGCAAATGCACCAAATGCTGGAAATGCATCTTACAGAACGTACTCCCAATTTATGACGCCACCACAAACTCCCCATGTTATGGGAACTGGTAAGTACAATTTTTCATTCAGATTTGTTTCAGAAATCTTGGTCTCGGAATTAGAAAATAAAAACATTTTGAAAGAAAATCTGTCATTATGAGAATGTCTAAAAGGATAAGTCGCATCCCATGCATTCAAATTTTGAATAAAACATGACATCGTATTTATATATATGGGAATTAGTGTGAATTTAGCCATTTAAAACCATAAAATCGAACACCATTCTTTGGTACCAAATATTGTCCATAAATAAATTCTGGCAAGTTATGCTTCAATGATCAATTTTATTTTTTGTTTTTGCAGGAATGCATTTGGTCTACCTCAGTCCACCACCTATGATGGGATTAGATAACTCCAGTACAGTTCCTATTCCATCAAGTGTTCCGTCAGTGATGCAAAATCCTGCACATCATCACCAGCATCAATCTCGTACTTCACAACTCACTGGCGAACCTACAACACAAGTATATGCATCGAATACAAATAACAATAACGTACAATCAATAACAGATGATGCACAGAATCACGGTCACAACCACAGTGAAGAGCAAGCTCAAACCAGTGACTTGGTTGCTTCGAAAACAGATAACATCAACAATGGTGCACCAATGCCAAATTCTAATGATAATAGTATTTCCCCACCTGCAGAAACAAATAGCATTCAAGAAATAGTTGTGGAAAAAGATGACTTGCAACCAGAAATCAGCTTGGAAGATTCGTCTGTAGCTGAAGTACCTGCCAGCACAGGTAAAGCGGTCGTAAGAAATTCAATTCATATTTGTGTTATGAACCCATTTTAATGTGTATAATAGTTTGCATTTCACTATCATTCGATCCATATCTTTTTGTATAGATGGTAGTTCTAGATTTGTTTTATTAATAGTTTCAAATATTTGTTTTGACTCGTCAATTTTCAAGTAGAGTGTTCAAACACGATACAAAAAAATTGCTATTTCATCATTTTTCAGTCAAAATCATGTAATATAAATCATGATTTTGCAGCTTTATCAAACAATATTTTTTGATAAAATTCGAAAATACTGTTTTACTAATAGCATACCTAATATCATATCATTTCAATGTTGTTGTTGTCCTTTCACCTAGCTGCTGCAACAGATTATTCTACACAAAGTCATCTGGTCACTGCCAACACCTCGTCGGATGAAAATCAAAGCGGCAAACAACCAGCAATCATGACAACACAGTCAACACATACTGCTCATAATCATATCCATTATCAAGTTCAACCACATCATAGTCATCATCATCATCATCATGCAGCAGTACAATATTCTAATTCACCAATCATGATTCAACCGGATTACAGGATGGCAGGAAGTAGGTTTGAATTTCATGTTGATTCAAGGCTGATTTTCTATATCGGTAGAAAAAATTCTCAAGATCTGTAGAGTAATCTGAGAAGTACTGTGCATATAACAGGCTTGAATGCATGAATTCTGCTCAATTTTGTCTAATCACTAAAAATAGCATTATTTTCTCGCCATGGAATAGCAAGAATATTCATGAGATCTACCAAAACAAGATATAACTTAAGCAACAAATAATCATGCCAAATTCTTGATGTATTGAATTGTGTAGACTATGATAGTTGACAAGAAAGATATTTATTCCTCCAATCTCATGAAACTGGTTGCCCAAGTGTAATCATACTTCTCATGTTTTGTTGCTGTACTGTGAGCACTTTGACTTTATCCCAACTTACCGGTATTGTTTGTGTAGCAGAACAGGACAAACTACATAGACTGCAATGCAATTTTTTTACAGAGTTTGCAGTTAGAAATCATCAAATTAGTATTTTTTGTCGTATTGGATGGCACACACTTTCTAAACTCGACAGAACTTCTATTAGATTTTGGTTATGCATTGGCTGAAATACACATAGGTTGAGCTTGTTATAGGCAGATGATAAAACTTACAACAAATAACGAAGATTCTTTATTTACAGTCGCAATGAATGCGGCTGCTCCTTATTCTACCAGAGTTATTCCGCAATATTCAATGTATCCTGGCATTACACAGACACCATATGTATACTTACCAACAGCAGCTTCAAATCACAACCACAAGCTTTCTGAAGTTAAAATGTTCCCAGTAAGTTAGTTTCTATTAACTGTGGTACTGACTGATCTTAAAATATGCTCATTGATTCTATTTGGGATTGCTAACTCTGATTATTCTGTTTTCAATTCAAAGTAAATTCGCAAATATAATTCTGGATCATTATGCATTGGAATGTATGTGCACATTGATGTATTGAAATATGAGCCGAAGTATGTGAACCAAGATGGCGGACACCGGAACGTAGTATGTCTATGTGTACCAGATTAGGGTTAGGCCATAATTTTATTTCAATTTTCCTTATTTTAGTTTTATTACGAGTTTGGGGACTAGCGAAGTGACTTCCGTAGTATTTGTACCTGACATTATGGTCTAATCCTAACCTGTTACACATACTACGTTCTGGTGTCGGCCATCTTGGTTCACATACTTCAGAAGTACCAAAATAAGTGCTTGAATTTGAGTCTAGCCAAGGTAGAAGATTGCGTAAATCAAATTGAATTTAAAATCGAACATTATGAATTAAGTTATTTTTTTCGATTGTCAGATTGTTTCATTCTCGAAATCATGATTTCAAAATGAATATATCATACTATCCGAACTCTAAAATATAAATTACTGAATATATATTGAATTACAAACGTATGTTATGTGTGTGGTTGAAGATTCCCGGCTATGCTTATTGGATATTTTTCTGTTTGATCCAATAATAAAAGATATAATAACTGCAACAACAACATCATTCAGGCACAAGCTGCTTCTCCTACACCTGGTTTGATTGCGGTTCATGTCCCAAATCAGAATCATATTCAACTAGTTCCTGCTGCTTCACTGCAACAACATCAACAACAAAATCAAATTTATTATACTCCACAGAATTACATGACATCAGGTAAAAGAAAAAACTGCTTTCATTGAGTTGTACTACTCATTTTCAGTGGCCAAGTAATATGGATAACTAGCGGGGGAAAAGTTGGATTACGGTATATAGAATGGGTTGGTTGGATAATCCCCTAAACTACGGTAATATTACTTTTTGAAAATCGATATGATAGCGAAAAGCCATAATTGCATAGTACAATATAGCTATTGATTTGAATTGTATGAATCCTATTGTTCAGATTACACAAATCAACCTGTAACACAATCTCATCACCAATTATATACAACAACAACAACTACTACAACAGAAACAAATTCATATGCGAAACAAGATATGGCAGTATCGTCAGTAGCAACCGATCAAAATCATGTTGCAGAAGCTCTGGGTAAATGAGAATTTTCTTTCCACAATTTTCGACTTTTTTAAGTTTTGGGGAATTAGTATGAATAGATTTTAAGAATATGCTGAAATCAATCAAGTTGCTTTTATGCTTTTGTACAGTTCAACTAGTTCACAATGTGTGTTATAGTTATGAAAAACTAAAGAATATTGGTGATATTACATCATATATGAATATGGAATTTCTCCCTAAAATGACAAAATTCGGTACTCCTGAAGTATGCGCACCAAGATGTCGCACAACCTGAGCCCTAACCTGATACACAACCTGAGTTAGGGTTGTGCGCCATCTTGGTGCGAATACTTCAGGAGGTCCCAAAATTCCGAAGGAATTCTTCTCTAGTTATGAAACATAGACTTAAACCGTTGGAACAGGGTCTTGATTGTACATTGAAATATTTCATCTGAGCCTTCTTAATGACACATCTGTCTATTATTGTATTCAGAAGCCACAAATGTTACTAGAATTGCTGGCACAACGAAAGATAGCAATTCGACAGACAATGTATATCAAGGTAATATGAGAGGTAGTTATAAATGTTTTCCAGTGGAGTAGAGATCCACCTATAGGATTTTACATAACCTTGAGATCCCTAAAGAATTTACCACACAATAAAAGCTTCAGAGACATAACTTTTTATCTAAACCAAACATATTTGTTGATGAAACTTGACCAAGCATGAGCTTTTGATAAAAACCCACATTCAAAATTGATATGTGGAACTATCTTTGCATAATTATAATAATATGCAAAATAGACCCCAAAATATTAAATTTATATAATGTAATGTGCTCTGCATTTTATCGTATTTTTTTCAGATGAAAATACAAACAGCAAAGAAAAGAATGAACATCCAAGGCATGAAAAAAACAAAGACTGAATTAACATGATAGACAAATGAATTTGCCTTACAGAAGTCATTTCTTTATATTTTATTTTTATTGCTATTTTTTCATCCTGCTAGTTTTCATATTCTTTTCTATCTCGTCCAAAAAAGTTTTCTGTTCGTTATTTTTCCAAGTTCCTGAAACTTTCTTCTCGCCAATTACTGAAATCTTCGCTAGCATGGAACATGAGTATATTACTGGTGGCCAATTATGAAAATATCAGTCTATAGTTTCAGCCATGTGCTAATAAAATCCCTAATAATGAACTCACACAGACACTTATCTAATAATCAATTGCACTCAATAAATAAGAGTAAATGAAGCAGAAAAAGATCTATTCATTTACTGTTGAGTGTCCATCAGTGGTTGTCAAATATTAATATCACGCAAATTATGCCACAGAGTCGATCATAATTTTTATTTAACCAACCTGCAGCACAAACATCTCATATTTTGTCCATATGACTTAATCATATTATAGACCCTTTTTTGAACAAGTTAGCACAACATTGCAATTTTACACTGCCGTTTTCTACAGCTGTGTGTTAACTGTTAACAGATTTCCTTGAGAAAGTTCATGTAACAGAACTCTGAATGTTAACCATTAGGTGTCTGATTTTAACATAGAATGGTAAATTGCTAACTAAAACTCGTTACCATCTCGATGATCGAATAACAATGGTGTGGACTAAACGAATGGTCATGGCTTTTTAAGAACTTTTTGATAACAAAGATCCAACTGAATTTTTAAAATCCATGTATTTAATTTTGTAATTTCAGATAGGAATACAGAATAGGCAAAGAAGCGAATGTACCAATCCACGATGAACAAAACCATATATTTTAATGGCCGACTATAATTAACAAAATGTACTGCCTGGGTTTCAAATTCCTGCCGTATGACTAAGTTAGTATTGCCATGCATACATATATGGTACTAGAATGATTGCACCAATTAGTTCTATACTTGTGTGGAGGGAATAATATTTTCTATTTTCCCAAATGTGCATTTCGTTTGGTTCTTTAAATCATGTTCGTTTTTCTTTGCTATTTTTCTACTTTATTTATGTTTTTATTTGTCAAGTCTGTAAGGGGTCATGGACTAAATTGTGCCACCTGGTAGGTGCTATTACACCAATTTTGTTTTGCTCCACATTATGTTACTTACCGGCAATTTCATTGATGTGATGTGAATTCTTGCTCTAGTTTGGTATCCCATACCGAATCTTATGATGAACTAAGATGATTGACAAGGTGAAATCATTTTGCATTTAATGAACTTCCTTAACAAATGATGAAAAGTAATTGCTCGTGAATACGGTAATACCGGTAGTTCGAAACCTGATTATAGCATTGGATTAATTCTTAGAATGCAGTTATTTATGCAAAGCTCAACAGAATTTCTACTCCACAGTATATGTGATTCTGTTATGCTGATGTATAAATTTTGTTTTCATTTGTTGCCTTTCAATTAAAATGCTCGTGTGGAGAAATATGTAACAGTAAATCATTTGAATATTGATATTTCAGAATTATGTCTGAATGATCATACTAGGCAATCATATTTTAATGTGAACTTGTTCAATTGCGTCTCATCTTCATCAGAATAGGAAATTATTTTGTGACAAAATTATGTCTTTTGCTGGACATAAGCATCAATATGTCGAATTAGCCCTGTTCTGCAGTTATCTTTCTACCAGATAACATTTTTGTGCTTCTGTTTCTGAGACCTTCCATTGCGGATGTGTAGGCTACATGTCTTATGTCTTTATAGTTTTATTTGGTATTTAGGGCTGTTGAACTTATGAGCCAGTCAGGTTTTATGACATGACTGTAAACCTGTCTAGGTTTTTGCGGGAATGCTTGATCTTTTTGTAATAGCAGTGTTGGTAATGGTGAACCGCTAAGATTCTACTAATTTATGTGTGGAGTACTTTTTTATTGCCTTGTTCCTTTCATATTGACTTGTAATAGGAAAACCTTGTACTTGAGCCAATATACTTCATCACCTTGAGCGTAAAGTTCTTGTATAAATTGTTTCTACTAGTAGGGAGTTATGTTTACTATTGGAGAAGGGTTGGTAAGGCCATTTTTTTAAATGTCTGTTGTCTGGAGACCAAGAAATATTATTTTGCTGCTGCTAAATTTCCTAGATGCATGGAAATACTGATTGAGAAAGCTGACGCCTTTCGTTATTTCAACATGCATATATCTAGCCTGTACCTTTTCATTAACGATTTTTGAAAATATCTGAGCCAGTAATAAATTCCTTATCGAGAGATAGCTTGCTATGATGTAGGTAAAAAACAATTTCGCACTATCGACTAGGTCAGTGGTTCTCAACCTTTTTTCTTTCGTTGCACAAAAATCCTGTGGCCCATTAACCTCCTCATGCAAGGGGAATGAAAATAACAATAAAAACTAAAAATTATTTTCGCAAACACAGACACTTCCTTCCCCACTCTATTATTTGAATGAGAAATCTGACCTAGAGCACAAAAGCAGCAGCATCATTCAATGCTGTAACAATCAAAGTTTAACTAATTTATCAATAAAAATCGGTTTATGGCCCACCTGAAAATGTTTCTGTGGACTAGGTCTTATTTTAAGGGTAGGACTTCTATTGAAATCAATTTTAAAATCCAGATCGTAGGTCCTATTTCCGGGGAAAAGCTGTACAAATTGAGAAAACAAACAATAAAATTGATGTGTGACAGACACAAACGCGTTCCAGCCAAGTCAACGCATTTCGCAATAAAATCAATTTTGTTTCGGTCACTCTAAAAGAAACAAAACAACAACAAACGGACAAATAAAATGCAGAGGACGGGCGTAACTTAATAAAAAAGTTGAAAACGTACAAGAACATGCCCGTCCACCAAAAACAGTCAAAAGAACACAAAAACACGCTGTAAAATCGTGCAATACCGTTTAAATCGACTTTAAAATGCTGAAATGCGAGACCTGTATGTGTATAACAACAGTGCTCGTTGACGTAAAATGGTGATGCTGTAAATTGCAAAAATAACACAGTGACAAAAAATTGTTACTGAAAACAAGCTTGTTAAATAGATTGAATGTTCCATAACAGTCTATGAACAAATCATGGATTGGAGTATGGGGTTCTTTTGTCGTTTTCTATTAGTTCAATTTAAAATCATTGTATCCGTTCTAATGCATCCAACATTAATATCAAATTTCCCCGAACGACCACCATTCCAACAGGTGCAATGGTCCCGTCTTTTCTGCGATATGTTCCATCATCCACAACTAGATTCATAAAAGGATCGAAAGCTTGCAAAACACCCCTAACAGATCGTCCACCATTTAACTTTAAATCCAATCTTTTATCCATAAACTTCATCAATTCCAGTGGATGTATTTTGATCATGCTGATATTACGCGATACAAATCCAACAGTAAATACCGAAACACACAAGGTTAAAGAGAATGCAAAACAAACGCCGGAACGGGCATACTTGCTGCATGCTGATACCAAAATTTAAAGGCAGTCCAATTGTATAAGAACTAACTATCAAGATAAAAGAAAGAAAAAAAATGCCGTTCTGCTTGTTTGGTGATTCAGGGCCGTAGAAAACGACTTTCAACTTTTTGGGCACGAAATGAACCTATGGATCGTTTTGCTATGATGTCATTGTTGATATATATTGTTGATATTTTTTTCGTGATCAGAACCACCACACAGAAGAAAATTCTTCGTCACCAAATAGGTACACTCGTCCCGTCTTGGTTTTTATTTTCAATACCCACACGTATTACAAAAACAAAATAGAGTGTTGCAAAATCAATACAAAACAAGAGAGCTATGCTCAAATATATGGACACGTAGCGCCACCCAATGGCAATAATTTTGATGACGTCATAGCGAAAAAAAAAGTAATAGCCTTCTGGAGAAAAATTTTATCTTAACCACTGAAAATTTCAAAGCAATTGGTCCAGTATTCGAAGAGAAAAGCGACTTTTAAAAACGTGTCAAAGAACAACAACAAGGACAACAAGAACAAGAACAACAACAACATAATATTGAAATTGATCACAGAACAGTTGTTCCCTTGCAAATTTTATGTTGTTTACACTTTAGGACAGATAATTGATCACAGAACAATTCTTCCCTTTCAAATTTTATGTTGTTTCCAGTAGACTCTCATCAAAATAAACAAATATAGTAGGCTACAAGTGCTACAACGCTTGCATTACTGCACTGGTAGGACCGTGAAAGAATAAGTTACGGTAATTTCATTGTGGTAAGACACCGGTACCGGCACCAGTACCAGTATCGTACTTACGTACTGAGCTACCAGTACCGGTTAGCAGTCAGCCAGCATCTTACCTGTACACTGTAGGCCATATACGGTAATTGATCACAGAACAGTTGTTCCCTTGCAAATTTTATGTTGTTTACACTTTAGGACAGATAATTGATCACAGAACAATTCTTCCCTTTCAAATTTTATGTTGTTTCCAGTAGACTCTCATCAAAATAAACAAATATAGTAGGCTACAAGTGCTACAACGCTTGCATTACTGCACTGGTAGGACCGTGAAAGAATAAGTTACGGTAATTTCATTGTGGTAAGACACCGGTACCGGCACCAGTACCAGTATCGTACTTACGTACTGAGCTACCAGTACCGGTTAGCAGTCAGCCAGCATCTTACCTGTACACTGTAGGCCATATACGGTAATTGATCACAGAACAGTTGTTCCCTTGCAAATTTTATGTTGTTTACACTTTAGGACAGATAATTGATCACAGAACAATTCTTCCCTTTCAAATTTTATGTTGTTTCCAGTAGACTCTCATCAAAATAAACAAATATAGTAGGCTACAAGTGCTACAACGCTTGCATTACTGCACTGGTAGGACCGTGAAAGAATAAGTTACGGTAATTTCATTGTGGTAAGACACCGGTACCGGCACCAGTATCGTACTTACGTACTGAGCTACCAGTACCGGTACCGAACCTGTAGGTCTGATATTCCGTTCCGCATACGATAGGCTATAAAACTTGCATTGCAGCATTAGTAATACCGCGGAAGGAATAAGTCAATTTCACTGCGTTACGGTACCTGTATGGCAACTTACCAGTACCGACCTACAGTAGCTGTAGTACTGAGCAAGACAATCGATCGCGAAACCGCTTGAAATAAGTGTAAAACAGTGTTCCCATGAGTAAAAATAAATACCGCGAAATTCTGTATGAAATATCATATCTCATAGGATTCATATAAAATTTAAGAATAAACAAAAGTAATAGCCTTCTAGCGAAAAAATTAATCTTTAACCACTGAAAATTTCAAAGCAATTGGTCCAGTATTCGAAGAGAAAAGCGACTTTTTAAAAACGTGTCAAAGAACAAGAACAAGAACAACAACAACATAATATTGAAACGATCGTTATGTCCACTACGTGTCCAATAAATCAGCATTCTTGTTTCTACAATGAGTTTTGAGATGACAGATGTTGTGAAGGCCTTTTTGCTCGGGTCTACAACGCCTTTTGATAAACAAAAAAGGATTAAAAGATGTAGAAAAGAAAAGAGCCGTAACAGACATGACAATTGAATTACATTAATTTTTGGTTGTTCATAGGCATGCTCTAGTCTAGTGGTTACAGTATCAAATTGTTTCATCCAATAAAACGGCGAAATCGAGAAATATATATATATCATGTGATGGTCTGTAGCAGCGTTTCCCAAACTGCGTCTTCCGAGTGTTCTGTGAAAAAAGAATAAAAAATACGTCTAAATTAGTCGCCATGGCGATCTAGAGATCGTGAAGTTGTCGCCCAACTGACCGTTCAATATCGTCACCGTCAGCTTAAAGAGGACTAACTAGGGTAGGGTAGTGGGATTTGAGTTAACCGCTTTTTGACTGTTAAGTTCATTATCAAGTTTACAGAAATCCTTTTGGTTTTGCTATAGGCAAACAAGTAGGCCTAAAGATTTAAGACAAAAGGTCAACTCTTCTTCCTCCATCTCTACCTGGTTTTACTTTGAAATGATGAAAATATTACTCATGTTAACTAAACTCGATTCAGTAAATAAATAAACTGCAGCTCGCGAAATCGCAGCAAGTACGTCTATCTCCATTAAATGTGACATCAGAGGCAAACACTACGCAATGGAAAGAAAACGGCATAGAAAGGTAAAATGAATTTATTGATTTATATACACAGCATTTAAATTAAGAAACAATAAAACATTTATAATAAATGCAATCTGTAAAATATTCAATCATATTCTACGTATGTGTTTAACCGTAAATATATACTACTACGGTTTAACCCTTTGATTTCTGCCAATCTCCTCTTCTCTGAAGATATTTGAGTTGATTTTTATCCTTCATAATTTTCAAGTAATGTGGGTAAATGTGCGGACGTTGCCTGTATCGCTTTTTATCTGAATTAAAAGAACAAAATTTAAATGCTTTGTAACATCCATTATGACGTCATAAAATAGAATGAGGATGCATTTTAAAACTAATAAAAGCCTAGCCCTGAATAATAAAAAAGTTGATTGTTGTAAACTGCTTGTCTGACTTTGGTCAGACAAAAGGTTACAGAAATACATTTGTGTAAGCGTGCAGCAGGACTCTCGAATTGCTCATTAAAAAAGAACTGGCGTTTAGTTGCTGTGCTATTGTCACTTTTCCCAATCTTGAAATTGCAACATGCAGAAATAAATAATTTACATCCTGGAAATATTGTAATAGAACCGATTCGCACAAAACTGATGATAGCTGTAAACTCGAAATAGGCAGTGGTATATTTATAACTGTTGCCCACAACTTCAAGAACATACAACTTACATTTGACTAAAGCAACATAACGCTGGTTTACTCATTAATTTCCCTGTAACCAACGGTTGTGACTTTTCCGGTTTCAAATCGACACCACTGAGAAGTAACTAGGTACAAGCAGATAGAAAGATGTAGAGTATGCACAAATATTGCATTTGCTAGAGTCCTGAAGAATCGGCTAATACGAAAGGAAGATTTGAAGATCACATAGCCAGTATTTGAGAAGTCACAGAAAGCTGAACTCACATTATTTATTATCCCACATTTTGTTGCTATTATCATTCTCGTGAAGGAATTTCTTGGAATCCACACGCGTCAAAAAATAAAGTCCACTCACACCACCGTGCGACGATCCGAAAGACTTGAATGCCCTTTTCTGCAAACTCAATTTTGATAAATAGATTAGAACCGTCTTTGCCACCTGATTTGTTCTTCGAGCACATGAATACTGAAGAGGAATACAGACATGTTCAGTGATTACATGATTTATTTTGTCATCGCTTGACAAACGAATATCTTCCCCAATTACAGTGCCGACTCAAGATTCAACGCAACTTTGAAGTTGGAGATCTTGTCACCCTGATGATCAAGGAGTGAAAAGTGAAAGTGTGCATATCCAATTCTACTTATATGCGCGACATAATGAAGCTCTGTCTACGCTTTTTGAGTACATTTACGCACAAAATACACACTACATAAATAGCATCCACACTACACATACACAGTCACACATACATTCTCACTATGGGAATATTAGGTGTATAATTCGAATTATATTTGAGTGGGGCTAGTTTTTGGTTCTATCCTTTTTTGAATTTCTTGCATTGGCAATTTGCTTATCTTCATTGGTTTTGTTACTGTATTTATTTCATCAATTGTTTTTGGAAGTTGAGCAAACATTTCTTTTTTTTTGAAATCATTTCCCTATGTTATCCAAAAAACAGTTCATAAAATTACCGGGGCCGGTATGTACTGTACGAAATGTTTGATTTTATGATTTTAGTGTGAAAGGGAGGTTTGAAGATCATAGTGCCATTATTTGACAAGTCAAAGAACGCTAAATTTACATATTTTATTATCCACATATTTTGTTGCTGTTATCATTCTCTTAGAAGTCTTTTGTGGTTATCTCTTGGTATCCACACGTTGTCAAGAAATAAGGTTAAATGAGTGGTCTTTCGCGTGTCCTAATGTTACCTAGGATTAGGAAAAAAGTTTGCTTTCGTCCTGAATGCCTGTACAAATGGAATTTTCTTCGCACTATAAAAGAAAATAAGGACAGGGAGATATGATTGGCAATCTTCCAAATACATGTTATGTGGCTTAAAGTAATTACATTTAATCCTAAACCAACTCTGTGATATATGAATACGGTTGTTGAAATTACTACTTGTCTTAGCGATTGGGATAGAGCGAGCTTTTGAATCTAAATTTTTATATGTGTGGAAATCCACAGATTTTCTGGAATCGTATTGAAAATCGATTTCCCTACATGTTTATCGAGGCATTCATTTTTGTTTTACTAATTGCAGAATTCGTTATATAAAGATCTACCCTAGGGTGGTCCAAAGTTGCCGGGACGCGAAAATTTTTGACGATGTCTTACGGGCCGCAGTAGGAGAAAACACAAAAGTGATAAAACAATGCGAGTTTACCCATTTGCTTCTTAAGAAATATCGTGGTATTTTTGGTATCTTTCCTCATATCTACCAATGGTTTAGTACAGTGATTCCCAAAGCGGGCCACCCCCCCCCCCCCCCAGTGGGCGAAAACGATACAGAGGGGGGCGAAAAAGTCCAAGGGGGCGATAGGGGGGCGATTTCGCGAAACCTGTTTTATGTTCAGCGCACTTAATTCTGTACTCTGTGTGCATTCGCAGGCTTGAATCATGTGGGCGATTATCACACGCGAAAGAATTGCTGGACTCGTCTTCGCAGTAAGGTACGGTAGTTTGCGTATCCCAGTGGTCGGCAAAATACGGCCGGAGTAAAATAATCTGGCCCGGGACGATTCACTGAATTGATCTTTCCCCGACCTTTGACCGCGGAAAATTCTTCCCATACTTTACCACTTAAAAATTTTCTGTGCTTATTTTAAGAATGGTTAAGAATGGCTAATTTGTGATTGCTGTATTTAAACTGAAACTCATAGGAAGACAAAGTAATCATTGACTTATTTGATTCAAAAACGCGAAAATGAGGTAATGTTCACGACCACGCCTGAAAATCTGTCTGAGAGCCTGAGCGGATGCGAAAGGGGGCATTGTTACGTTTTTTGCATCTTGCTGATTGGCCAATGTCACGAAGTAAACAAGGAAGTCTATGCCCGGGGAAACATCCAAACGGCGGTTTTGATGATGAAATTTTTTTATTTATAATCTACGCTCGAGGAGTAAATTACATTTTTTTAAGTAACAGAATTTATCGTGAGACACGTTTGGACTAAATTTTATTATATCCTAAAAATTCCATTGAACAGCTAGCTACTCGTTTAACGAGCCTACAATTTAATTATAATTAGACAAATGGAAACACGAAGAAAAGTTGATGGTGAGGGCAGGGGTTCAATAGCGCAGTCAATATTCGAATATATTGCAAAGCAATAAGGAAATAAAACTCATATTCTATTCGAGAGATTCATCACTGCTTAATTTTTGTAAGAATGTATCTTCTTAAAGAAAATCTTTATCAAAATTTCACAAATCATGCGAAAATATTCACTTCGATGTTTGGAAGTACATATTTGTGCGAACAATTATTTTCGAAAATGAACATTACAAAAAACAAGCAAAGAACTGGGATTAGGGATTCCCCATTTAGAAAATGTTTCAATCTCGGCGTCGTAAAGCTATCCAGCGTGATGCAGCAACAAGACAGTGTCACATTAAATGTCATTGTAATATTTTTTTTAATAAGACGACTGAGTTGAGTTCCCGAATTGTTGCAGTTTCCGCGCGCTGTTCCGTTTTTGACTTTCAAAAAATATATGCGACCCGCAAAAGACTAGCAACCCTGAATTTTGTCCTGCGAGCGACATAAAATTTGCCGACCCCTGCCTGGGCCGTAGCCGATAGTCGGTCACGGCTTCTCCCACATCCGAGTCCATGAATCCAAAAACAAATGGCTGGTTAATTATGGACCGGTGATCAGACTGGAGGCCGTAGGAATGAGGAATCGGGGATGAATTTTACCGAAAGATTTTGGTGCAGGTCATCAGGCTGTACAAATGAATGAGATGTACGAAAATCATTATTATAAGTTTGGGAAAATTAACTTTGTTTTCATTATTCCACTGGGAAATGGGGTGAATTTAGGAAGTGAAATGCTATAAGGCAAGAGTACACGGCGGTTTTTGAGGAGGTAGAACCCTGGATTCTTTCATTTCCGACCTATTATATGGTGAAAAAGGGGTTTTCAGTCATGTTACTATTGCTATCAAAACAACGAAATCGCCTTTCCACCAGTAAACGGGGTAATTTTAGATATAATAAAAAACTCGCTGAAGGACACCAAGCTCATCTATCTCATAAAACATTATAAACTATGATTTGTCTTCTTATTTGTTCTGTAATATATTCGTTTCTGACTTTACACATTTTTTTGTATTGCCGGGGGGCGATGAAGTTGTATGAACTACTTTAGGGGGGCGATGGTCAAAAAAAGTTTGGGAACCACTGGTTTAGTACACGCTGAAATTTTTCTGCGGGGCGCAGGGAATGTGTGCTCGGGCCGCGGTTTGGTCCACCCTGATTTACCCTATAAATTATAGGCTGTTACTGTTCCATCGGAATGTTGGCCAGGGCAAATTTTGACGTTTTTAGGTAAACAACGAAGGCGCGTCGTCAGACGTACTATACACAATGGTATGTTGTGAGTCTCTCGATTAAGATAATCAGTAAATTGGAAGCGCAATGGTTGGATGTCTTGTCTCAGTCTAGCTCAGTATTCGGTGTGAATCAGTGTTTACAGGTTCTGTATTGTTGGTAGTACTCGTTATGTATCTGTTGGAAATAACAACAAGAATTGAGGTTCTCAAGTGTAATATAAATATAGTTTGTGGCAGTATTACTGTCAAATTAGCACAATGACTACTGCTTTAATATTATAGTCCTAAAAATTGGATTTTAGTTACTTTAGAGCAGGGTCGTCCAACCCGTGGCCCGCGGTAGCATTTAGAATGGCCCGCGCTGTATTTTCCAGAATTGAATAAAAAATATTGAGTGAAGATGTGATACAAACGATTTTTTTATTTTTCTAAAATGCGCTCTGCCAGCCCTTTCGAACGTGCCATGAGTGTCATTTTGAATCGAAACCAACTGGGAGGAGATATCGATACATAAAGGTGCCATAGTCGCTTACACTCTTGGTCTTTTACTACTCTATATGATGATATGGCAAAACAATCTAAGGAATGTATATTATGTATTGTTTGGGTTGTCAATGTTTTACGTCCAGAATAAAAGAGGTTTTTGCAAAAATAGCCTGTCAAGACAGACATAACTCGTCGTGTTGAAGAGCCTGGGTAATCTATAGCGGAAACTTTAATTGCAAAAGCGGGAAAATTTTCATCGTATTCCTTGGCGCTTGGCAAAAGCACTGACATCAAGTTTCCTGCTCAGTTGACAACTTGGCGATCTTCTTGCGGGGAGTTAATGATGATTTTAAATTACCAAAGAGCTCGCAGTCATTGTCCCTATTAAGCCACGACTGGAGGCATTGATTTGTTGGGAGCTATGATAAAAATGATCAAGCATCTTCGCTTGCCTTTGGCGAAACTTTCGGGAATAACCACTGATGGCGCCCCATCAATGGTTGGGAAACAACAGTTCATTATTCTAATAATTGTGAAAGTTTGGTGTGAGGGTATTGTTTGTTTGTTCATTAACCTGTAGTTTGTGTAGCAAAACCAGAACATAACTACCATGGAACTACATGTGGCCCTTTGACGAAAAAGGTTGGCCGACCCTGCTTTAGAGAATATTTCATTTGATTGTGTTACTTAGAAAGTCGAAACATTGGGTATATATATACTGTTAAATTTTGTATGTTTTTAATCTATATCGTGCTGATTGATTTAAAAATTAGAGAGTTGTGATATTATGATATTGCAAAATTGTCTTGCCGTATGGAATATTTAGTTTATGTTCATTGTTTTCAGCAGATGCCATGTTCCTGATTCTATTCCAAGTTCCATCGTGTTGACTGTTCTGAACAAACTACACCGATTCTAAGATGAATTTCATTAAGGCACAGGCAATATGCACTTTGCTCTCTATATCAAACACTGGTAACTGATTCAGAAACGAATCGTTAACTTCGTGACAGGACTTGTTGTTTATTGTGGCGCGTTGTCAAAGATCTCCAACTAATAATAATCAGCTAAAGTAAATTTTCCTTTTTCTTTTGAATAGTCGGAAACATTTCTAGAATATTGAATCTGAAGAATATACTAACGTGCAAAACAGAAGAATGAGCAAGTGTTCAAGTATTCCAAATGAAATGAAACATTACTAATGTTTCTAGAGAAGGATCAAAAGCTTCCTTCATCACCCTTACGAAAGTCTACACAGAAAGCTAAACTCACATCTTCCATTAACCTTTTAATTTCTGGTTTTCTTCTCTCTAAACTAAAGGTATTTGAGTTTCGTGTCAATTTCTCATGCTCCACATTTTAAGGAATGTTTGTAAATGAGCGTGAATCGCTTGTTATCTGAATAAAAGAACACAATTCATATGTTTTGTTAGAATCATTATGACGTCATACCAAACCTATGTCTTAGCAAACGCTAAAAATTGCGAAATTATAACCGCATATAGAATATATCTAAAAGAAAACGAAGAGGAATAAAAAAACATAGTTTGGGCTGTCCAACCAACGCCCCATGCACGGGCCGCGTTCAGCCCGCACTTAAATGAGTTCATAAGCCAACATTTTTAAATGTTTAAATTTTAGTACCGTATTTTATATAGGCTAAACTTTAGCGGTTCCCAAACTATGGGTCGCGAACCACTGGTGGGTCGCAAAAGGAATCTTAGTTGGTCGTGAAAAGATGTAGAGAGCTTTGGTTAATTATACTGGATTCAAATTCGAATCTGTGATTGGTTCTTTTTTTACGATCTTCTCAAAGGAACAAAAATTTGCTACACAAAGAATGACCATGTGGCTTTTTTACGCGTAGCAGTTTTGTACACTGTACAGCACTTCTTACCGTGTTTCCCCGAAATTTAGACAGGATATAGATTTATTTCTTTTGAAGAATAACACTATGTTTTTTTTTGGAATAGGTCTTTTGTGTTCATTTATCAAAAATAAAATTACATTGTAGTAAATCACATGATTTTTTACTAAATATTATATAAAAACCGACATCCATAGTTTCTATTTGTATTTTCTATACAAAAATCAAGTGACAAATATCTTAATTGTGATATCACACCATCTTTAATAGTGGTGTGATCTTCACCTTACTTCAGGTTAATGAACCTTTCTTCTTCCACACATTTTAAATTTATATTAAGGGTAGGGTCATTCTGAAATCATTTTAAAAATTCAAATTATTATCTTATTTTCAGGCCAGGTCTTCATTTCGAGGAAACACGGTAGTTTTGCGATGATTAGCCATTGCTGTGTTCTGTTAAATTAAAATTAAATTAAAGTTAAGTGGGTCGCCATAAGCTTTGGTAATAAATAGTGGGTCCCAACTCTAAAAAGTTT